TTTTTTGAGACGGAGTCTTGCTCCGTCACCCAGGCTGGAGTGCAGTGGTGCGATCTCGGCTCACTGCAACCTTCGCCTCCCGGGTTCAAGTGATTCTTCTGCCTCAACCTCCTGAGTAGGATTACAGGTGCCCCCCCACCACACCCGGCTAATTTTTGTATTTTAGTAGAGACGGGGTTTCACCATGTTGGCCAGGCTCGTCTCAAACTCTTGACCTCCTGATCCGCCCGCCTCGGCCTCCCAAAGTGCTGGGATTACAGGCATGAGCCACCGCACCCGGCCTCTTTATTTTATTTTTTGAGATGGAGTCTCACTCTGTCTCCTAGGCTGGAGTGCAGTGGTGCAATCTTGGGTCACTGCAATTTCCACCTCCTAGGTTTGAGTGATTCTCCTGCCTCAGCCTCCCAAGTAGGTGGGATTACAGGCACGTGCCATCATACTCAGCTAATTTTTGTATTTTTAGTAGAGACGGGGTTTCCCTATGTTAGCCAGGCTGGTCTCGAACTCCTGACCTCAGGTGATCCCCCCCGCCCCCACTGCTGGGATTACAGATGTGAGCACCACGCCCAGTGCCTGGTACTCTCTTAAGAAAATTACCTCCTTTTTAAGATTAGTAGTATCATAAGATCTAATACCTTGAAGGAGATAATATAGATACTGCAAGTATGGGCTATAATGTAATAAATCACACCAGGGTGAGGAAAATTGAAATGTTACTCTCCACTTAATGCTTTAACATTACCAAATTACTGTTGTCTCCAATGACCACTTTCCCACAGTGAAAATTAAAACTAATCACTATATATAATTTAAACGTTTTGAATTATTGCCCTGAGCTTAATCTTAGTTTAGAACAATTGAAACACACCAGAACTTTCTTCAAAGAAAAATGTATTTGAAAACTCCTGGTAAAAATCCTGATTCTTCTTTTAATGATAAAAGATAAAATACACTCTTATTGAAGCAGAGAATAATGACCACTTTTGTTTTGTAAAACATGTGTTTCCAGGCCGGGCACGGTGGCTCAAGCCTGTAATCCCAGCACTTTGGGAGGCCTAGATGGGCGGATCACGAGGTCAGGAGATCGAGACCATCCTGGCTAACACCTCTACTAAAAAATACAAAAAACTAGCGGGGCGAGGTGGCGGACGCCTGTAGTCCCAGCTACTCCGGAGGCTGAGGCAGGAGAATGGCGTAAACCCAGGAGGCGGAGCTTGCAGTGAGCTGAGATCTGGCCACTGCACTCCAGCCTGGGTGACAGAGCAAGACTCTGTCTCAAAAAAAAAAAAAAAAAAAAACCCAAAAAAACATGTGTTTCCCTCACCCCTAATTGAGTACACATGCTCCAGGAAAAAAATCAAGGCCAAATACTGCTAATAATGAAAGGGAAGAATATTAGGATCACAATTTAATTAGCTCTAAGGATCTCTTTGCTCATCGCGAAATAAAAGGATCAGTGATCCCTTTGAGTACTTCAAGGCTTTTCCTGTCAATTAGCCGTTGTGACTAGATTGGCTATTCAAAGGCATGCTGTTCAAACTGAGTATGAGTACTCCCAGGGAAATTAAAAACTGTATAAATATACACACACTCACAGAGTGAGGAATGGCATTTTTACTCAGATTATTTGCCAGAAACAGAGTATCCTGAATTGAGTCAGAGCAAATCTTCTGAAAAATATATGATGTCTGTATGGTATAAACTAATATCTGGCAGTAGGAAGAAAGTTCTCTCTTCTGCTTTATTATACTTGAATACCACATCCAAAGCAAAAACATCTAAGCAAAACAAAAGCAAAATAATCTTTTTAGAGGAAGATTTAATGGGCAATAGCAGTCTTTCCTGCAACTATCAATTTGAGAGAGAAGCAGTTATTTTACTTATCTAATTTGAATGCTGGGATAACATACATTTTTCTTGAAGTGTTCAATGGGACCATTGACCTTTTTTTTTTTCTTTTTAAATTGATATTGTCTTTTTAAATATTTTTCTTATTCTTTTTTGAGATGAGGTCTTGTTATATTGTCCAGGCTGGTCTTGCACTCTTGGGCTTAAGCAATCCTCCTGCCTCAGCCGCCCAAGTAACTGGGACTACAGGCATGTGCCACTGTGCTTAGCTAATAAATATTTTTTTCTTTTCTACAGTAAAAGTTCACAGATCTCAAGCGTAGCTCACTTAATTCTCTCTCTCTCTGTCTCCCTCACACACACCCATCTCTTTCTCTGTCACACACATACACACACACAATCATTTAGCTACTACCACCCAGATCAAGATGTAGAACCATTTCCAGTACCTCAGAAGACTTCATGCCACTTCCCACTTGATACCCTCGAAGGTAACCACCGTTTTAACCTCTATCACCATAGGTTTATTGCCTGTTTTAAAACTTCATTTAAATGAAATCAAACTATGTACTTATGTATTTGACTTTTGCTCAACATTATTTTCTTTTTTTTTTTTTTTTGAGACAGTCTCACTCAACTGTTGCCCAGACTAGAGTGCAGTGGTGCGATCTTGGCTCACTGCAACCTCTGCCTCCCAGGTTCAAGCGATTCTCCTGCCTCAGCCTCTCGAGTAGCTGGGATTACAGGCATGTACCACCACGCCTGGCTAATTTTTTGTATTTTTAGTAGAGATGGGGTTTCGCCATGTTGGGCAGGCTGGTCTTAAACTCCTGACCTCAGGTGATCCGCCTGCCTTGGCCTCCCAAAGTGCTGGAATTACAGGCGTGAGTCACCGCACCCAGCCAACATTATTTTCTTGAGATTTGTCCATGTCATTGCACATTCTAGTAGTTTCTTTTTTTTTTTTTTAGCTGCTATGTACTAATTCCATTGTGTCAATTTACTACAATTGGTTTATTCATTCTAGAGTATAAAAACATTGAGTTTCCAGTTTTTGAATTATGAACCAAATGGATATGAACAGTCTTGTACATATCTTTCATAGAACATAAGCACTCATTTTGGTTGAGTTCATATGCAGGAGTGGAATTTCTTGGTCATAGAATGAGATGTATGTTTGGCTTTTGTAAAAACTGCCAAAGTGATTATATGTTTATTTACATCACCACCAGCAATGTTTGACAGTCTCAATAGCTCTATATCTCCATCGGCACTTGATTTTGTCTGTCTTATTTAACCATTATGTTGGATGTATGTCATTTTAGTTTGCATTTTCCTGATGATTAATGATGGTGAGCATCTCTTCATAGGCTTATTGACCATATGGATATCTTTTTTTTTTTTTATCACTTAGTCAAAATTTATTTCAAGGCCTGAAAACATTCAAACTAATCAAAATGGTACTACTGTAACTTCTTATAATACATAATATAAAAGTTTTTGAAAAATATAGACACAACCCCTAAACAACACACTATTTGATTCTCAAAAGCAATGGCTATTTCACAAGATGTAAAGGGAAAATAACATATTCACACACCTAAAGAGAGCATTTAACAGCAAACTAGCCGGACAAAACACAAATATTTTTATATTTCCCATGTTCGTTTTTAACTTTACTTCGTGAAGCCACTGATAATTGAGGCTTCTTTCAAGTATAAGATTTCTAAAAAGTAAGCAAAACAAAATCCAACTGTATTTATATCAGTCCCTCTTCTCCAACAGCTTTAGATGTTTTTCTGAATACTTTTTATACAAAACAAAGCATTTTTATTAAAATCAGTTCTAATTCATTTATGCAGATTAGGGGAAAGTGATTCATAATAAATTAACTTTAAAATTACCTTCTATCTGCTTCTACCTCTATCCCCCCATCACTACCAAATCTGTTGCTACAGTGAACAATGATGGCAATGTACTGTTTGAGGGGGCCCAAAGCAATCTGTAATTTTTTTTTTTTTTTGAGATGGAGTCTTGCTCTGTCGCCCAGGCTAGAGTGCAGTGGTGTGATCTAGCAATCTGTAATCTTAATTTCCTACATATTAGTTAGTAGGAGGAAAAATCCACAGTATGAAGGCTGTTTAACTAAAACTTTATGCTTTTCCCTCAAGCTGTAAGTACTCTTTAGACTAGCATTAAATTACATTGTGCATATACAACTACACCCATTTAGATTTGCCTTGGAATATAATTAATTTCCAAGACCTTAAATATTAAAAATAATTCTCTAACTATTTCATAGTTTAATTGGCTCTTAAATAGTTTTGCTGGGAGGAGAAACATTTTGTGTTCTTTAAGCAATTGATACGTGTAAATGTGTTCACTTAAGTCTTGAGAAAACCTAAGGATGAAGTCTGTTGTTTTGTTTTTCCTCAAAAAGGAAAAAAGAACCAAAGAAAAATGTTGAATAACAAGAATATTTACCTTTAAAAAGAAGAAACATTATCCAATAAAAAGGAGACATATAGATTTGAAAATACTTATTTTGCTGTCTTCAATAACAACAAAAAGCAGATAGGCAAAGGAAGTCCAGAGGACTCAGAACTGAAGCAGCTCTATACAATAATGAAGGTGGTACAATGATGTGACTGCAAAGAAAATGACTACAACAAAATTTTACAAACATCTTCATGTTTGTAATGTATTAATGCACAAAATATCAAAAATACGAAGCCTGAGTTTCTTCCCCTCAGGTTTATGATAAACTATCAACCTTCTATTTAATGCATTTCCTTTTTTTTTTAATTTATAGAAATGGGGTCTTGCTATGTTGCCCAGACTGGTCTTGAACTCATCAGCTCAAGCAATCCTCCCACCTCGGCCTCCCAAAGTGCTGGGATTACAAGTGTGAGCCACTGCACTTGGCCTTAATGCATTTACTTTTATAAGCCTCTGTTTAGAAGTACACACTATACAAGAACATACATGCTGGTATTTTACCATGATAATTTTAGTTTTTATCTCAAACTAGTGACTTGCCTTTTTACCCATACTTATACACATGTAATACCTTTCTAGTGGTACATTTTAATCAATATATATATTTTAAATCTTGATTTTTAACTGAATCTTTTTAGTGCTATGACATAATGGGCTTAATTTAACAGTTGAAGCATGGTATGGTAACTACATTGTACTTTTTAAACTAATTCACAACTGTAGCAAAGTGTTTGATTTTTAGTATATAACCAAGATGAGGCTGGACAGTAATAAACACAGAAGCACTAGAAAACAGTGAATGAATAAATAATACGATTTTTCATCAGTGGCCATTCATTATTTTGCTTTTAGAAACCTGGAAGAAATTGTCTTCTTTGATTTTCAAGTGTTCTGGTAAATCTAGTCATTTCTTAGCTTCTTCAGTATCACCTTGAATTGCTGAAATAAGTGACTCTAAAGAATCAAAGTTCTTTTCTGGTCTCAGGTAGTCAACAATGGCAACATTGAGGATTTCCCCATAGAAGTCCTCTTTGAAGGTATGCATGATATGTGTTTCCATAGACTTCTTGGTATTCTTGTAATATGGGTTCCATCCTATGCCCACCACCATCTTATGGACATCTCCACTTCCAACACTGGCCCAACCATAGTAAATGCCAGTGGATATGTCAGCTGGAAGATTATCTATCACTTGCTCAGGAAAATTAGCTGTGGGCATGCCCAGCTGCTTGGAGCCGCGGCCGAAGCCCCGCATCGCTTGGCCCGGGTAGAAGGAAGGCAGATGCCTCATAATGCAGTCCGCTCAGGGAATGGGCTGCGGCCGGGTCTGAGCGTCTTGCGGAGCCACCGTCGACGCGGTGCCCAGACCCCGGACCAACCGGGGGGCAGGAGCGTGAGCTCTGCCTGCCGCGGGGGCGCACCAGGGGCAGGACGACTCCGACCACATGCTGCGGCGGATACCTGATGCCGACGACGCAACAAAAGCTGCCCCGCGACTCAGGAGCTTCGTCTCTGCTGGCGGGCAGCGGAGACTACCTGGGTGTCTTCTTTTGTAAAGTGCCTGTTCAGGTATTTTACCTATTTTATTACTGAATTTTTTGTCTTTCTATTGTTTTGTAAGATTTCTATATTATTTATTTATTTTTTTAGAGACAAAATATCACTCTGTTGCCCAACCTGGAGTGTAATGGCGCAAACCTAGCTCACTGCAGCCTCAAACTCCTGAGCTCAAGTGATCTTCCTGCCTCAGCCTCTTGAGTAGCTGGGACTACAGGCGTGTGCCACCACACTTGGCTACTTTTTTTTTTTTTTAACTTTTTTTTTGTAGAGATGGGGTCTTGCTATGTTTCCTAGGTTGGTCTTGAACTCCTGGCCTCAAGCGATCCTTCCATCTCAGCTTCTCAAAGTGCTGTGGCTGCAGGCAAGAGCCACCACACCTGGCCCAGTTCTTTACATATTCTAACTACAAGTCCTTAGTCATATATATTACGGAAATCTCCCAGTCTATGGCTTGAATTTTCGTATTCTTAATGGGATCATTTGACCAGAAGTTCTTAATTTTAATTAAGTCCAATTTATCATTTTTTATTTAGTTAGTACTTTTGATGCCCTACTTAAAAAATCCTTGCCTATCCCTAAGATCAAGAAGATACTCTTCTATGTGTTTTGCTAGAACAGGAGTCGACAAACTACAACCCAAAGGTCACATGTGGCCCAGATAATGTTTTACTGAATCATAACTACATCCATTCATTTATGTATTGTCTATGGTTGCTTTCACACTTCAGCATCAAAGTCAGTGTAACAAAAACCATACGAGCCACAAAGCCTAATATATTTACTATTTGGCCCTTTATAGAAAATGTTTGCCAATCTCTGTTGTTCTAGATCATTTAGGTCTAGTATCCATCTCAAATTAATTTTTGTGTGTGGTTTGAGAGAGTTCATTTCTTTTCTGTATAGATAACCAGTTAACCCATCACTATTAATAAAAAGTGCTCTCACCCTTTCCCACTGAATTGTAATGGTGCCTTCACCATACATCTGATGACTGGATATGGGTGGTTCTCTTTCTATATTCTATATAGTGCTCCATTGATCTATTTGACTATCATTGCATAAATACCATATGGTCTTAATCACTGTAGCATTATAACAAGTCTTGATACCTGATAGTGTAAGCCCTCCAACTTTTTTTTTTTTTTTTTTTTTTTCC